ATAATTTTATAATTTTATACTTTTGGCCAGAATTATAAAATTTTGACCAGAATTATAACCTGATATTTTGGGAACCCACCTACCTACCCCAAAATTACATAATTTCTGAAAGCTCTCTAATTGATAGTCTGTATTTAAAAAAGCATGTACTTGCTCTAATCTGTCTGCAAGAAACGGTGCAATTTGTTTATTCCAAATTTTAAAAAACTCAAGACTTTTGACCAACCTATATTAAATAAATTAATAAAATAAATAAAATAGTAAATATTAACATTATACAAGTACATACTTTACTTACAACTATGCATTAAAGGTTATAAAATAGAGAATAAATTGCAGATAAAACAAATTATTATAATTTTTAAAAAGTTTAACCAACTCTAAAATCACTGCACTTTCATTACCAAGTTTAGATTCCTTAAGATAAAAATTAACTAAAAGAATAAAATGATCACAAATTCAAAATGTCAAATACCATGGTTACAGCTACAGAATGGCTTAGTAGAAACCTTTCATATAAAACTGATTTTTATGCAAGTAGAGAAAAATTTTTTTGTCAGTTTTGCCAAAATACTGTTGATCATAAAAAAAATCTACAATAGATAACTATTTGACATCATCTAACTATCAATCAAAAAAAAAACAGCACTTAAAAAATCTCAAAAATCTCATTCACATCTTACAATTACTTCTTTTAGCAAGTCTTATAATAAAAGAGAGCAATTCGTTCTTGAGTTTGTTAAAATATTTGCTGGAGCTGACATATCTTTTGAGAAAATTGAATATTTTCAACCTTTTACAAGAGCATTGTAAATATAGTGGTGCAGTTCCTGGTACTAATCAAATTCAGGAGAAGTATCTTCCAATTATATTTCAACAACAAGAACAAAAGTTTAAAAATTTGTTAGATAGAAAAAATTTGTATCACAATAGATGAGATAATGGATTCTTGTAGTAGGGCAGTAGTAAATATTCTATTTAGTTATTTTGATCAAACCTATTTGGTTAAAACAGATTTTTTACAAGTTGTTAACAAGATTACAATTTCTCAACTTGTTATTTCAACATTATCATATTACGAAATTTTCTTTGAAAATACAATTTTATTTATTATTGATAATGCTTTGTACATATTAGGTACATTCAATTTTATCCTCTTTAATGCTACAAATTAGACATAATACCTGTTTTGCTCACATATTCAATTTGGTAGGAGAAACGTGGATTAAATACAAAATTTTTAAACTTTTTGATTCTATAGTTAGTTTAATTAAAACTATTTACATGTATTCTATGGCTAGAAAATGATGATAGATTTTTTTCTTTCTTCAAATAGTAATTTTAACTCTACACTTCTACCATTATCTATAAAAATAAGATAGAACACATGGTTTAATTTT